TCCGTATCCCTTCCTTGCCGCTGCTCTTCTTACAGTCCATTTTTACCAGCCGCTGTTTTACGGGGACACCTTCTGGCAGCTGGTCCCCGGAGAGCCACACGGGCCCTGGACGTCCTCCCAGCACACTTTGGCATTTCCTGTCACACACAACGGGACACACGTACAGCCGCACTTGACAGCGCTGTATATACCTGTACATATCTCGCTTCACTAGTTCTGGGTCATGGGCCTGTCCTAATCTTTCATCGTTGGCTGCAATATTTCTCTGAGGTCTGCAAATATACATCTGTGGGGGGGGGGGGGCGGCTCGCTATCTGCCAGCCCTGCTGAACTCAATATGAGACGGGTTTTAACCCGTCCCGGATGCCATTAAGCAAACCGCAGACTGGGAGCATGCAGGGGGAGTGGTGTGGTTTAGTCATTAAGGGACCAGATCGGAGATCCGCCGCAAGAACAGACGCAGAGGTCCGCATGTGACCAAAAGTAACAAAAAGCCGTCCCATAAATATATAGAAGTATGAGTAAATTTAGTTAAAAGTTTGTGGGTAACATCATGCATAAATATGAAACACCAAATAAGGTACACCATACCAGTCAGCAGTCTGGACACACACCATACCAGTCAGCAGTCTGGACACACACCATACCAGTCAGCAGTCTGGACACACCTACCCACAGAACGGTTTATTTGTACTATTCTCTGCATTTTTAAATAATTATAAAGATAGCAGAATTATAAAATAACACTTATGCAATTATGCACTGACCTAAAAAGTATTAAACAAAAAAAAAGTCATTTGTTGCAGGTGCAACTCTGTGGATTGGGACTCAGGAGTTTGCTGGTTCAGATCCCGTGGTTGGCGGAGTGATGCCACCATTGGGCCCCTGACCAAGCCCCCTAACCCTAATTGCTCTGGGGACTGGCTGGCCCTACTGTCTCCTGTATGCCAGGTCCATGAGGTGGCCTCCTGGGATGCTTTCCCAGCTGTCCTGAAGGAGGTCCCACATTTAAGCTGAGCCCTTATTGGCTGCTTTTCCTGCACTGTTTAGTCAAACTCCTCCCAGACTATTTCAGCTGTGTTTAGATCATGTGATGCCCGTATTGCTCGTCTTTGTAGGTGGTTTGGGATTTCCAAACTTTTGACTGGTACTGCATAAATACGTGACAGCATGCAGATGCTTGACTCATCCTAGCCTGGGGTGAAAGAACAGGAAGTGTATCAGCCTGAGAGGCTGACAGAGTCAGTGGTTCACGATGATGCTCAGCCACAGCCTTGGTCCAGTCCCACTGAATACGACCAATAATGCAGAGCCAGACCAATTAAAGGCTTTTGCTCTGACAGCCTTAATTCATTTCCAGCAATGGCAAGTGCGGGGGGGGCGGGGGAAGAAAGAGAGAGACAAAGAGGGAGAGGGAGAGAGAGACAAAGAGAGAGAGGGAGAGAGCCAATAACTCACCATTCAGTTGCATAAAACCCCAGAGCGTGCTGTATAATGTACACCTTTCCTGTGCCGAGTGCTGGAAATGTAAGCAAATTATGCATGGTTAACCTGTCACCGTAATTAAAGTTAAAACCCACAAGTCCATTTGAGGTGTACGGGGGGCAGGCGGGGGAACGGAGACGAGCGCTGCCATTCACAGCAGCCAGGGGTCGGGGGCCGGGGGCCGTGACAGGTATCCGTTATGTTTTGCCCGTGAGCTGAAGTCCCTTCGTGGGCGGCCCTCCCTTTCCGTTTTGGCCCCTCAGAACCTCTGAGGTTTGAATTAATCTGCAGGACAGAGCAGCTTTGAATTTTTGAGAGAAATATTGAACTTCTTTGTTGTGCTTGCGTGTGTGTGTGTGTGTGTGTGTGTGTGTGTGTGTGTGCTCGAGTAGTTTGAAACACACAGGACTCTCCTATACTCTCTTGCTGTTGTGCGTG